GTAACGTGCCTCTGCGTTGCATCTCTGAGCTCCGCAGTCTTGGTGACCAGCTTGTCTGGCTGGCACTGGTGGGACTGCCACCCGAGAGGCTTGCGACCGGGCGATTGCCATCGGTGCGAACTGCGGGCAATGCAGATATCAGAAGCGGTCTCGGGCAACAAGAAATGCTTCCTCGCCTGCAGTCTGGTGGATCCTGCCTGCAGTGCGAGCTCAGAATGCGCGTGTTCCCGCTCGGCATTCAAGGAGCTACAGTAGCAAGAGTTTGCGCTGGGGCTGCCACTTGCCGTGGGCCCTGTGCTCGTGCTTGGACGAGTATCTCGCGAGTGCACGAAGAGCGAAAAATCGCCGAGACGTCCGAACATGCATGGGCCTCTGGGGGAGTTCAAATGCCTTTCAGAGACTCTTGTGCCTCGGTTCGACAGCAGCAAACGGCACAAGGATGCACTTTAGGCATTCTGGAAAATGGCAAACGCACAGCGCACCTAATGTTGACGCGGAGTCATTGCGACGTCCTGATCACAGGTCGTTCCCCCTCCGACCAATTACGTCACCCAATTTGCACCGAAGTTTCGGATTCAGGATGCATGTGACAAGATTTCATGCGGTTTTCTACCGGCGCTGTTTGAGCAGGTCCCTCGAAGCAAGCTGGACTGAAATGATTCTGGGTTGTGGGTTTGGAGGCTTTTTGGGGGCGATCGCCTGCCAGTGCAAAAGCATCTCCATATCATCCCCATTCCGGAGCCACAGCAAACCGAGTGTGTCACATACATCCCGAAAGCAACTGCCTTGGCTGGCCAGCGGCCGCTGTTTGTCCGATGCTCGAACGCCATCTCACAAGCACCAGGACGACTCACAGCAACAAGCATGGCCGCAGAAGGAATGCGAAGTGAAAAGAATCCCGGATATTGTCAAAATTGCTCAGAGCCAGGCCAGCAGCCAGCCGACCGTCGCTTGGATTCCCTGCAACTCGATTTACGAGCTGAGGCCACTTGGCGCAGCAGCAGCAACGGTCAGCAAAGCACAATCTGAAGAAGAGGAGGAAGTCATATGGTATGACAGCTCTCATGAAGTGGAGCCTTGCCGAAGGCCCACGCGTGAGACTTGCACGCGGTTCGGAGACACAGGTGTAGCCGTACCTGGAGCGAAGTAGGCTCTAAGGAGGCATCCTGAGCACCGTCTGTCTTTTTCTGAAGTGCAGGCTGCCATCCCTCATGCTTTGCGATGCTTTGCATAGCAAGCTTTCCACTTGGTTTGTCGCCATATGCCTGCCCTCCGTCTTGCTTCCCA